TGCGTGTAAGTGTGTATGTGAGTGTGAGTGTGAGTGTGCGAGTGATTATGAGAGTGAGTGTTTGTGTAAACATTCTCACCTTCTCGCAGTCAGCTTTTTCGACAAAGTTGAGCCCCACCGTGCTGTTCTCCTGTAAGTTCTCGAAGCAAGCAAACTTTTCACTAGGTACTTCAATATTTCCATTACTAGATACTCGACAGCTTAGTACAGATTCACCAGTGGTGGGATCGTCTGCATACACGCGTGTAAGGCCGCTTTTGACCTCGTAGTATAAGCCCACTCGCACCACATCGTCGATAACAGGCAACCACTGATCGTTATCCGTGTCTACTTTATGGACTTGAGCTAGTGCTGTTGTGAGTGTGATAGAGATTACATCCATGTTGTATATACTTGACAGTTCATGAATACTTTTTAGTACGTGATTCAAACTCCATTTGCTTGCGGCTGGATCCCACTATGGTGCGGTTTGTTGCGCTATATTATGACTTTCCGTGTTCTGCAGCCTAGCCACGCCACTTGCTTGATCTGCAAAGAAAGCTGTAGGATTGTATTCCACATATAGTTCGGTTATATAAAAATTTTAATCGTGAGCTTTAACCTTTGCATGCCCTGAGTGACTACTCTCTCGCCACTTTTTAGTAGCCATCGGCGATACGAGTATATGTTCTACCCTCTCTCTCTGGGGGACTATGTACTAGTTGACAAAAAACTGTCTTAAATAGTGCGAAAATCATTTAGTACGGTAATTGTAAAACGTACTGGATCCGAAAACTTGATTTAGTAGAAATCACGGAATGGAATAAAAGCATCAATGGCACATTAATACTTTTTCGTGCAGCGCTTATCAGCGCATCTATCAGGAACAAATTTTCCACACGTCATAAATAATAGGAAAAAAAAGAGCGCCTTTGCAAAATTATTTTGAAATGCTTTTTATTTTATTTTTTAAACATAGCCTCCTAAAAAGAACAAGGAGGCTATGGCTTCAAAAAATACTATTGTTTTTAAAAACAAATTTAAAAAAAAACATTCTGGAAGCAATGTAAATAAATACATACCTACATATATATTTTTTTAAATTGAACATCTTTGTTTGTTTTTAAAAAAATATAACAACTTTATTTATACTGAAGGAAATCAGGAATGGGAAGAAGGGAGGGGGGGGCTTGCTTCAATTTCAAACTTCAAATTATTGGAGCCTAGTAAAAATACAATTTTACACGGAATTTGGAGACAGTCCGTGGGATAATACATAGCCCTAAATTGAACAAGAAGACTATGCCTATGGATAAAATGGGAAAAAGCATACAGAAACGAGAAAACAAAAAATCGAAATATATTTTTCTATAAAAAACATCAAGTTTTTTTTCAACGAGGGCGAACAAAGTACAGGGATCTTGCGACTTGCAACTTACATAAGGAAAATATCATATATTGGAAAAAATAAAAAATAAATAGACTGCGTCCTATTCAAAAAACTGAAAACATGCGTGGCAACATTTTTTGTCCAGAGGTGCTATAAGTGGACATATATCATCCCAAAGAGTATAGGAGCAACATACTTTGATTCCAAGAATGTCTGATAGGTGTGAACGGACCTATATAGTGCTCATGTTTGGCTGGTTTGATCCAACTCTGGTACAAACCAAATTCTCTGTAACTTTTGAATCAATAGTCCGATCGGGATGAGATTAAGCATATGTTTATTACTCGTCAATGCGAACAATTTGAACTATTTAATGACCATTTGTTTTAGTCAACTTCCATAGTAAAATCCCCGCTGGTCTTGAGGTTTATATGTGAACTGATTTTCTCTAATTTATTGATTGTTGAGAACAGGAATGTCCATGCACAAATTTTTTTTTTGGATTTCTCTTTTTTATATTTTTTATATTTTTTATATTCGTATTTTTTGCCAACAAACTCTCTATCCGCACCGACAGTCGACAACTCGACTTCTTGTCTAATTTTCAGAAGGCTATGGTCGATTACACTTGATATTAAAACTACACACTATATGAGATTACAACCACACACTACACGAGATTAGTATTACAACCACACACTACACGAGATTAGTATTACAACCACACACTATACGAATTTGATGGGCGAATAACGCCTCCACACCAGTTATATAACAAAAACAAATATCTTCTCATTATTTTAAAATACCAGCTATCACATAAACCTGATTGTATATACTGTGATCAGATATGAAGAAGAATAGTGATCAAGTGAATGAGGTACCCGTAGATGCTGTCGTATTGGGACCAAATGAGTCGTCTTCCTCTTACGACAAACTGCCCAAGAATAATCGGCTACACGCAGTGATCTCCTGTAGCGCAAATGAAAGAAAAGCTCTCTCGCAGGTACAGGATGCCTCCTTCTGGAAGGAAGCACACGAGCCAAGGCGAACTGTGATAAAGAGAAACTGTGTCATACTGCTTTTCTTCTACGTACCGATCATCGGCTTGTATGTCGGGGGGCATTATCTGGCCAAGTTCTTGGCAGTGAAGCCTCCATTAAGTTGGATGCGATGGGAACCAACCAAAAACGACATGATCATCACTACTCGGTCGTCGCAGGATTCACCATGCTATTGTCTGCGGTAACGCTCATGACAATTTACAAGTACAAAAATACGCCGATCATTATGAGTAAGCTACCATCATTCACAGCACATATTAGCTTCTGCCTGTTGGTAATACCTCCGCTCACTTATGTCGCAAACATGGTGACAACACACTATACAGTCGAAAATAGCTATGTGCGTTTCATACAAGCATAAGAGCTGATGTTAGCAGGACAAGTATGGGCTGTCCTGGGTAACAGGATGGCGATTATGTATCTGGTACTGGCTAAAGGAACCTTTATTCCAAGCTACAAACTGTTTTTAGACAAATCTATATCAATGTCGATAATATTTCAAGTGACACCTTACATCAATACTAACACAGTTTCATTCCCCAAGTACACGGATATGATCAAATGGTGTACCGTTACATATGTGGTAGTCACCCTGATCGAGATGACCTGGTATACAGTGAAATTGCGCGGGGGTTTTATAAAGCTATTCGCAGACTACGAAAATGTAGTTCGGATGATGGTTATGCAAGCAGTGATCCTAGTTGTATCTATTTGCATATTCCAATTTGAAAAGAAAGGTAGGGCGTTCTACAGATTCAACTCGTCATTGGTTCTCGTCTGGCAGCTGGTGTTCGAAATGTATGGAGCTCTTGTGTGGAATGATATTGTACGTGCCTGCGGACTTGATGGACTTTTAATCAACGAGAATACACTGGTTAGTCTAACATACGATTTGATAGATCCGCGTGGGGGACTTGATTTGCTGATGCAGGACGAAGAACTTTACCCCATATTGTTGGCCACAGCCCGTAGAAGATACATGGACGAAAATTTCAGGTTCATAAAAGATGTTAGGCAGCTTAAAACCGAATTGGAGGCACAGCCCAATCTACCGAAAAGCAAACCGGAATCGAAAGAAAACGGTTACGATTTTAGGCTTACTTTAAGAGTGCTGGATACCTATATTATATCTTGCGCGCCTTCTCCAGTAAATCTGCCTTCGAAGATTTTAGAACCGTTGCGTGCAAAAAGAAAACAAGTCGCAGAACAATCAGCTTTAATGAGCCAGGTGAAGAGTGAGATGCAACACCTCCTATAGGCAGCATACTCAGAAACTGCACTACTGATACATCAGTCGCAAGTATTAAGTATTTTCTCTAAGGATGCTGAGGTGTGCGCCATATTGAAGCGGAGAATCGATAGGTTAAATACATTATGTGGAACTGATGCAAGATTAGTTGAACCACCACAAAAAAACTTGTGACATCGAAGATAATAGCAATCTTTATAGCGTCTGTGATGTGTCTCGGAAGATCGATTGTTCGAGCACGGTTGCAATCTAGCTATAAACACAGCATCTAGTATCGAATCCACGTTTCCGTCAAAATTACTGTATCAAATACAATTCTCTCGGGTAAATCATATCAGACAACATGGATATGTTTAAAATCTGCATGTTTAGTTCCGCGTAACTTAGATCAAATATGTCAATTCTTCATTATTCAGGGAACTCAGAACTGTGCTATCAGATGTGCTCCACAGCCATTGCTATGACAACCGCATTCATGAGTCAGGCTATATTATCTCCACAGGTGATTGTACACTCAGGACGCAACTGAATTAGGTTATCGTATAATTGTATTTCTCACATAACGTTTGCATTATTTAGGATTTTGGTTCATCTCAATACGCGATTGCTTGAAACCCAACTCGCTTACTATCCAGGTAAGCAAAGATATGCAACCAAAGATACCCCAAGTGGTAGTGGTGACCCTACATCATTGTTATGACAGATACATTCCCCAAGTACACTGATCTAATCAAGTTGTATACCGTTGCATGTGTGTTAAATCACTTTGATCGAGATGACCTGATTTACAGTGAAAATGCGTAGGGGGTTCATAAAGCTATTCGTAGACTATGAAAATCTCGTTCGGATGTTGGGTATGCAAGCAGTGATACTGGTTGTATCTGTTTGCATATTCCCATTTGAGAAGAACGATAGGGCGTTCTACAGATTCAACTCGTCAATAGTTCTCGTCTGGCAGCTAGTCTTCGAAATGTTTGGAGACCTTGTATGGAATGAGATTGCACATGCCTGCCGACTTGATAGAATTTCATTCAATGTGATACTCTGATCAGTCTGGCATATGATTTTATTGATCTGCGTCGGCGACTTGACTTGCTGATGCAGGACGAAGCACTTTACCTCATATTGTTGGGCACAGCCCGTAGAATATAAAGGACGAAAGCTTCAGGTTCATGAAAGATGCAGCTTAAACTTGAATTGGACACTGCACAGTTCAATATGTCGACAAGCAAACAGGAATCGAAAGGTAACGGTGACATTAGTAGTCGAACTTGGGGAGTGCGGGATGGACTATATTATGACTGCGCGCCTTGTCCAGTAAATCTGCCCTCGAAAATTTTATGACCGTTGCACGCAATGAGAAAACAAGTGGCGCAACAATCAGCTCCAGTGAGCCAGGTGGAGAGTGAAATGCAAAACCTCTTATGAGCAGCATACTCAAAACGAAGTACTGATACATCAGTCGCAAGTATTGAGTATTTCGTCCAAAGATGCTGAGGTGTGCGCCGTATTGAAGGGGAGAATAAATGGGTCAGATACAATATGTGGCACTGATGCAAGATTAATTGCACCACAACAGAGGACTTGTGAATTAGTAGCAGATGAAAACAATCTTGATAGCGTCTATGACGTGTCCCTTATGACCAACTGTTCGAGCACAGTTAATTCTAGCTATGAAGGCACAGGTATTTAGTATTGAATCCACATTTTTGTCAAACATTCAATTTATGCTTGAGACACCAAACTGTTTCAAATGCATTCCTCTCGGGTAAAATTTATTAGACAACATGGATATGTTTAAAAGCTGCATGTTAAGTTTCACATAGCATATATCGATGATATATCAATTGTTCAACAATCAGGGACTGCGCTACCAGATGTGCTCCACAGCCATTGCTATGACAGCCGCACTCACAAGTCAGCTTTCGATTATCAGCTTACTAATTTCTCCAAAGGTGATCGTACATTCTGTACGCAACTGAATTGGGTCAATATATATTTGTACGTCTCACAAAATGTTACACTGTTTAGGATTTTGCTTCACCTTAATGCGCGATTGCTCAAAACCCAACACGATTACTATCTAGATGATCACAGATAGGCAACCAAAGAGCCGCCAAGCGGTAGTGGGGTGCAAAATGTACACTGCTAGAAATCAATCACCAGCCATCTCCCTCCCATTCGCCATCGTCTTTGCTCCAATCATCTGATTGCTAGATGTCGAAGAAAATGAAAATACTATTACGAAGTGTGCAGTGCCCGGTTAACCTACGACAAACGAGACATGGGCTATACTAAATAATAGGAAATAAGGTATCAGACAATTCCAGGTTGACGTCGGCTGTAAGCGTGATTCCGACGATGTTTTGGTAAACCATAAGTACGCACATTTTCTCTACCAAACGATTAAGGGGCAAACAGAAGATTGAAGATTCGTACCGTAGTATGTGAATACGCAACAGCCAGAACGCCCATCAATACACACTGCAATTTTAAATGTTCTATGTCGGGGAACTCATAGTAGTCGCGTGTCAATGACATGATTTGCTATCTACACCACTCGTGCAAATTTGCGCTCTGCTTCAGTACGTGCAAAGCTTGGAAACAAAGTGCACGATAAGTCAGACATGAGTCACATCTCAAGAGATTTCAGCCGGCGTCATCCACCGGTATATACAAACTTACCTGTCGGCGAGCCGGGGCGGGTTTGGCCGAGGCGGCAGTTCTTGTTTTCTGCGGGTTCGGTGCTGAAGATATTTGACTAGGTGCGCTACGAGGGGCAGGGCTGGCAGTTGCAGGAGACACACGTGATGGGGTAGCACGTGTTTGTGGTGACGCGCGTGTTTGGCTGTGAGGAGAGCGCTGTTCGTTTAGTATGCGGCCTGTATTCCTGCACTGTGTACGTGAGGTTGTCCCGCTATTGTTACCGGAATGGGAGTTGCTTGTGTGTTGTGGTCTAGTCCTGGTATTGCCCGGCGCTACACTATTGTTCATTTGCTGGCTGCTATTATCAACTCGGTTGCCTTTGTGTGAATCCGTGTTGTTGTACTTGTCGTTGCTACTGTTATAGCGCCCGCTGTTAGTGTCCATAGCATCGTTGCTGTTCAATGTACTCCCAAATCCTTGATACCTCGCGCTGCTATTTCGCGATGGTCCGTTTCGGCTCTGTTGCAATGCGAGAAGGTCGGAGTGACAAGGCGCGTACGTCAGACAATGAAAATGGGTGTAGACAACGCTTACCCTAGAATTTGCGAATATTCCGACAAATGCCTCAACACACAAGTTGACACCTCAGCCCATCGTAGTATGCGTGCTAGCATTCTATGTATAGGTTCTACAACGCGGAGTGTACTACAGCTAAAGGGTCTCGCAACAACTGTCACTGTCCACGCTACTACAAGCCGAATGCTCCCCAGTGCACACCAAGCATTACGCTACAGTACGACCAATTTACACACGGGCTACCATCAAATAATAGAACGAACATGTCTAGGCAGAGCATGCATACCACGAAGCTAACATACAGAAGAAGTATCGCGGTTGTATAAGGTGGGTATCTCATTGTAGTCGTCATCGTCACCTTGCAGGCCTTTATCATTGAGCATGTCGGTAACATTCTTGGCAAGCTAAAATGTAGACGAAAAGTCAATTAGGATTTACAATCAATCAACACCTTTACAGGAGACTTAAAAGAGGCGTGTTCTCCGACTTTACGTTTATCCAGATACAACTTCAAAGCTTATGCGTGAAGGCCTTGCCGTACTTGTTCCCAGCATAGAGCCAGCTCAAGATCTGATTCTAAAAAACAACAGACTCCTTACCTGAGAGGTGGAGGTCGCTACGGTATTCATCAAACTACTGTTCTTCACCTATGTGTGGCAAAAGTAACAATAGCTTAGTGACTGGATCTGTGAGTATCCCAACTTCGATCGTGGTGAATGCAGGCTAGACAGGCGAACTTATTTTTGGTTGGATTGGTTAGGTACAGACACCGAGACTTAAACCTAACTGAAACGCTGCCAAGCAATGGAGACAAACACACTACTTTTGATATCAGACAGAGCCCTACTCTCCCCAGAAAGTGTCGAGAAACATAACTCATGCAAGTTATCATCACGTCTTTGCCACATACAGGGTAGAAGGGATAGTATACTATATCTCGTTCGAGACAAGCTGTGGCACATCTATATATACCGGTGAAAATTTATGTGAAACTATTCAGTTGGAAACATTCAGGAACGAGGACAAATACCAACTTACAGCCTCGGTGGTGGACCAGAACTTTGCAGACAAATCGCCGGCTAGCTCTCCGCCCTGTGCTTTCTGAACAGTCGGTTTGATATAGGACTCGTTTGCGGTCTTTGCGCCCTCTGAGGAGTGTACAAGATAGTTTTAACCAAAGACGGCCAGTCAGCACAAATCTCGGCGCTTTTGTATTGCTATAGAGACGTTGTAGCTACGAAGCTGATCAGCTTATACACAACATATGAGAGTGGAACACCATTGGAGATACTCTTTTATCATCAAATATCAGGGAATAGGTGCATAGCACAGAGTTGAATCGACGAGAAATGTGAGCAAGAAACACAAATGCGTTAGACTTTGCCGAGATGGTCATTGCCGCTCGGCTCAGCATAGCGGCCCACAATTGACCTAAAGCGTACTTGTTGGACTGGCTGTCTCACAACGAAAATACTTTTGAAAGAGAAGCTGTACAACCCTTTCTTTCTCAGATATCACGCAGCTGAGCTATGGGGGTATAAAATGTACTATTTCACCTCATGTGCAAGTCCACCCCACTTAGCATTCTAGCGGCAGCAACAGAGCTCTTCTGGCAAGACTAAATGACTTTCTTAGATGTAAAACACAAACACCTGCGCAAGCACACAGCGTTATGCATCATCTCTGTCACTTACAGGACCTAAAAACAACTATACACCACCCCACCTCGTGCATATGCTAAGAAATACACATACACACCCATATATATATAAATATATATATACTACATACATACATATATATATGTATATATATATATATACTTAATATATATAATATATATATTAA